CCCCTGCTGCCCCCTGTCCCTGCAGCCCCCTGCCCCTGCTGCCCCCTGCCCCTGCAGCGAGGCCGGCAGAGGGGGACTGGGGTCTCCTAGCTCCCCCCCCAGCACTGCTCCGGTGTTGGGCCCTGTGGGGTGAGATCCCAGGGCCTTCTCCAGCTACAATGGCATAGGCCTCTCTCCCCTCCCTGATGGCCCCTGCTGCTGAGCCTCCCCAGGCCCTCATCCTGCCCAGAAGGGAAGGGCTCCTGTTAAGCACGTTATGAATATCCCCAGTGCACTCAGGTGAATTCCCGGGGCTTGCACCTCAAATCTGACGGTGGCCTCACCCCCACGTCTCTTGAGAAAATCAACGTTTTGCCTGAATAACTGGAGGTGTGGGGAAACAGCATCAGCTCCATAACAGCTGAGGTGGGTGAGGAACAGACTTTCAAATGGGTCATGCCGTGCCTCTATCTCCTTCATCCTCGACTTTTGGGAGACGCATCCTGCAGAGCAGCTCAGGTACGAGTCCCAGTTTCCCCATTATTTGCAAGGGCACATTGCAAATCCCAAATGACCCAGCCCCTTTATGTGTACGGTTCAGATGCGCTTTGCTGGTCCGCTTGACAACCTCATAGCGGTGCCGGGGAAGGAGGGTGGCCAAAACGAGGACGGGAAGCTTGCCTGAGCGGTTCTGGAGGAAAGAAAACCAGCAAGCAGCTCTGCCAGTGGGAAAGCCCAAACGAGAGAGAGGAGCGGGGCACCGGGACGTGAGGGGACAGGGTGTTCAGAGGCTGTCGGAGGAGCCAGGACGTTCCTCGCCCAGACCTCCCTATAAATACTCCTCCCTCCTTTCTGGTTCGCTCCTCCACGATTTGCTTGGGCTTTGGGGCTGGGTTTTGTTGTTGTTTGTTTGTTTTCCCTCCTTTCTCTAATCCTCCCTGCCGATCTCTGGCTGGCTGCATCTTCAGCTTAAACGGCAACGGAGCGAGGAGGAACCGGCTGTCGGAGGCCAGAGCTTTGGGGTCGCTCCCAAGAGATCGCCCCCCTCCTCATCCCCACCCCGTGCGCGGCCGGCGCAAACCCCGCGCACCGCCTCCCCTCCGCAGCCCCGCTGCTGTGCCCCTCTCCTGCAAGACGATGGCGCTCCGATCTTTCCAGAGCCTCACCCCAGAGCTCCCTAGTGCCGTTGGTGTTGGTTTTTTTTTTTTTTTTTTCCTTTTTGTATT